TACACTCATCCATTCAGGACAGTGGAAGCAAGGTAGCAACAGTGCCCCCCCTTTAGTCACTCGATTAATTTAGTGACTCAAGTCATTTGAGCAAGTTAAGAAGAAACTACACAGCATTTGAAGATTTCCTCTTCCCCACGTTAACCCAAAGAACTCAGACATGATTTAGCAACATCACACAGCAGCTGATGTTTAGTAAATTAGAGAGGGTCGACATTTCTCTCCATTCTGTGGCCACACAAGTGCCACCCAGATCAGACCCACACACAGCAGTGCAGGAGCAGCTTGCCTGGCTCTTGGCTCGAGGTGGGGTTTGGCAGGATGCTACAAGCAAGAACATTATGAACAAGTACAACTTTTTGGAGAAATAGATGTATTCACAGAGTTTACTCAAGTGTTCAGCCTAGTCTCATCTACCTGACAGGGATCCTCTGAGAACAGAGCTTACTCTGTGACCGTTTCTGGCAAGAAGCCCATTGTTCATGTCATCCTCACACACACCCTGAGCTTCCGTGCTCAGAAGTGGGCAGGGAGAGAGCTCAGCTGCTGGTTCAGGGTGTTGCTTCACCCGGCCACCCCAAGAGGAAGCTATACATTCAAATTTTAGTTAAGCCAATGGAGCGGCTGCTAAGGAGAAGGGTGGTTCCCTCCTGAGGATTAGTTAGAGGCTATAAACTCGGGTAACGTGAGGAATGACAGAGAACAGTTACAAGTTACCACACCACATGATTTTTAAGCCATGCTCTGTGTTAGATCAAAACCATCCCCTCCTGGAGGAGGGAAGTCCTGCCAAGAGCAGCAGCTCTGCACGTTCCTTAATGAGGAGAAAGAGCTGAAGAAATGGGGTATCATCACAGAATTACCCCTGTACATAACCTGATTTTTAGAGAGGCCTTTTTTGTGTCACATCCTTTATGGGACACTGAGAGGTTTCTGAGTGGGTTTGGCTCACTAAGCACATCAGTGAGGGAGCTGCAATAGGAACCCCCCTTTGTGCAGGAGCACAATCAGCTCAAAACCAGCGCGTGGTTTGGCCCCCGGAGGGAGCGGCGGGTCTGGTCAGAGCCCTGCGGGATGTCACGGGGGCAGCACACAAGGGGACACAGCAGGATGGGCACCGGTGGCACCGCACCCGCGGCTTTCTCCTACTAACGAGGCACGACCTGCTCGAGAGGGGTTTTAAAGCCCTTTGCGTGTGGCCACATGAAGGGGATGCTCATCGATACCGTCGCTGACTGTTGCCCCGGTTCGCTGCCCCGTTGGGAAGGGCCGGTTCGGGGCGGCAGAGCCCGCACCCCCCGGGCCCGGCGGGGTCCCCCCCGGCACTCACCTGCCTGGCGGAGCGGATCTGCCGCCGCACCGCCTCCTTGCAGCCGTACAGCCCGTCCCCGCAGCCCGGCTGGGCAAGCGGCTCCACCCGCG